CTTCCCGAGTCACGCTTGGCTCAGGCTTCTACAGGGAAGATGGACAGAGGGAAAGAAGGTGCTGACACCAAGCGAGGGCTCGGTGCAGGGCTCTGGAAAGTTCAGAGGAGCTGGAGGCCCAGGTGGCAGGACACACCTGGATAGTAAATGAGAGAGAGTCTGCAATGCCCATACAAGGAACAGCAGTCCAAACCCTATCATGCATAAGCAGATGGAGTTGACAAAGACTTGCCCTAACCTGTCTCCCATGTGGGACTGACCTAGCTCTATCAAGCCTTTGGTGGGCAGCCTGGGAGAGCGGGGGTCAGGGTAGCCCAGTATTGGACAGGACACCATGGGAGACAGACCCCATGTGGTTTCTGGTTCATCTCCATCTCTCAAAGCTTTTGGACATGCACAAAGCTGAAGGAGGTCTCCCTGGAGGAGAACTTTGGAAAGCTCCCTCTAGTGAGGCTGGGCAGGGGTGGCAGGGTGGGAGTGGGGACTGCCTTGAGAAAACAGCTAAGGAATGGAGGGATCGGGATTTTCCAGAGACTTTAGAGATGATGCCTGGTCTGATAGGAACCGTGAATCAATGCTCTGACTTGGGGCTAATTTGCCGAATGAGGTAGTTCCATCCTGACCTCTCTGGGCAGGGTTGGTCAGGGAAGACAGAAAACAGGCCTTCCCAAGATCCACGGGGATGAAAAGTGGCCAAGAAAAGCCAGATTTGGGCTCCCAGAACGCAATGAGAAAAATAGAGAGAGGCCATAAAGGATTCTAGGTGCAGGCTGAGCTGACGGCGCCTTCTATCCATGATTCTGATCCTGACATTCATTGGCTTGGAGGCAGAGACAGCCCTTCCCTGATCTTCCAAAGCCCCGGAGATAAAGGGACCAGCTGGAGGATGGACTTTGGAGCATCCAAGGGCACAAGTGTTTGATGGCCACCCCTATGGAACTCAGCAGGGACCACAAAGTTCCTGCCTCAGTTTGTTCTCAGAGCAGCCAGCACGGCACGGGGTTTGGGGGGGCTTCAGTCTTGGAGACAAGGGCAGGGTTGCAGGTCTGTCTTCTTGGCCTGGGAATATTTGGGATTCCCCAGCTGAACCATCCAGATCACCCTTTCTGGAATTGCCAGCTCTCTCCTCTCTCCTCAGTGGACAGGAGAGTGGGTGGGAGGGCAGCTTCACCCAGCGGGAGCCACCACCCCCTCTCCACGGGACCCCCAGCCCCTCTCCTGGGCAGGACCCCCGGGGCCGCACAGGCATGTCTAGATCTCCATGTACACGGGGCGAATGTTGCCCTTTTTGTGCTCTCTGACCCACAGCTCTCTGTCTTTGGCCGGGTCCATTTTCGAAGCAGTTGGTCCACAGGCTCGACTGTGCTTTGGTTGAACATGTCTGTCTCATGCTGCAACTGTGTGTACTGACACAGATGTTGCCAGATCATCTCCACCCTCTCCACCTCCAGCCGCTCCAGCTCCAAAGTGGTGGTCACCATCTCTTCAAACCACTTGGACTGCGCCTGGTTGTAGAGGTCCACACAACGCATGAGGTCATCACCAGCCTGTGTGGACTTTCTCCGTGCCTTCTTGATGTCCTCCTCTGTCTTGTTGCTCAGCTTGATCTTCAGCTGCTGGGTCTTCATCTCCAGGTCTCTCTGCAGCTCTGTGAGGGCTTTCCGAGCCTTCTCCACCGA